CCTTCACCACCAGCACGAGCTGTTCTTCCCACACGATGAATATAATCACGTGGATCATCTGGTGGATCATATTGAATAATCCAGTCTATAGCTGGAATGCCTAGTCCATGAGCAGCAACATCTGTACAAAGAAGAACACATTGCTTTGCATTCATGAATTCAAAAAAGGTAATTGTCCATTTTGTTTGTTTTTGTTTACCCTAATAAATATAAATAAATATTAATCAATATTTTATAATTATTGTAATTGATTTTAAAAAAAAACTTACATGTAAATCCAAAACTTGTACATCAATATAATTTAACAACTAAGCATGAGAAAAAAACTATTATCTTTTTTTCAAGTTCTTTTTAGAAAAGTAAATAACAACAAGAATCTTTTGTCACTATCACAAACATCTACATTTATATATTGGCCCATCTTTTAACAATATTTTTCTATTTTAGTCATTTGTGTAGCTAAAAATTTCATTTTTCTAAATATAATAAATATAAAAATAAGATATTTATATTGCCCTTAGTCTAATTTGTCTAAATAGATATATATAATAACATACCTTTTGGAAAAATTTTAATTATTTTTTTATTTCATCTTCAAAATCAACTTCTAGAATATGATCAATAATAAGAGCTTTAGGATTCTTGTATAAAACCCCTTGGTATTCTTTAATAAATCAAATAATTAGATATATGATATTTGATAAAAAAAATTTATTCTAAAATAGAAAATAAAAATCTGAAGATGATCTAATAACCTTCCAGGTATTAAATTAATAAATTTACGCTTTTGAGCTTCAGATTATCTATTTGTTCCACCCATAACAATTCCATTGTGATATAAAAAATTCCCCACAATTTCCAAAGAGATACAACCAAAAACTAGGTGCTGTTGCTGTAATTAATTAAGTTTTTGACAATTCATCTGGATAGTTTTCATTAGAATCTAAACAGTCATGATAATAATAGCCAATTATTTAATTGGGAACATTAATATATTATTATCACAAATCCAAAATCTTTAGTTTGATCATTTTCATTATTGCAATTATCAGTATAATTGGTGATGCTGATGTAGTAGTGGTATTATTAACAATGTAGAAGGGAGGATTGATATTTTTGGGACACGTGAAAAGGACGGGGGACGGGCAGGTGTGGCTTGAACCCGTCCCCCGTCCTTTTCACGTTTGGCCCTTT